GGACGCTCAATTCATATAGGAAGTACCCAAGATCCTGATAGAGATGTCCCCCAATGATCGAATGCACCCGAGCAGATCATAAGAAGGGGCCCCGACAAAAGCATAAGGTCTCCATTCAAATAAGAAGTACTAAAACCCAGTCCGGAGGGACCCAGAAAAATAGCGTATAGCAAGCTTTTAGGTGGCCCCGATAGGTCCTAAATTAGGACACCAAGACCCAATGTGCAGGGCCCCGGACAATCCAGCGTGCCGAGGATGCGAGCGGAGTGGGCCCTTAACAAGTGTGTAGGGCCCCCATTCGAAGGACGTAGTACACAAGACCCAGTGCAGAAGGCCCCAGACGATTGAATGTGTTCGAACAGGCTGTCAGACAGGCTCCCGACAAGAGCGTAGGGCCCCCATTCGAAGAGGACGTACACAAGACCCAGTGCAGAAGGCCCCCAGACGATTGAATGTGTTCGAACAGGCTGTCAGACAGGCTCCCGACAAGAGCGTAGGGCCTCCATTCAAAGAGGACGTACACAAGACCCAATGCAGAAGGCCCCCAGACGATTGAATGTGTTCGAACAGGCTGTCCGACAGGCTCCCGACAAGAGCGTAGGGCCTCCATTCAAAGAGGACGTACACAAGACCCAGTGCAGAAGGCCCCCAGACGATTGAATGTGTTCGAACAGGCTGTCAGACAGGCTCCCGACAAGAGCGTAGGGCCTCCATTCAAAGAGGACGTACACAAGACCCAGTGCAGAAGGCCCCCAGACGATTGAATGTGTTCGAACAGGCTGTCAGACAGGCTCCCGACAAGAGCGTAGGGCCTCCATTCAAAGAGGACGTACACAGGGCCCAGTGCGGAAGGCCCCCAGACGATTGAATGTGTTCGAACAGGCTGTCAGACAGGCTCCCGACAAGAGCGTAGGGCCCCCAATTAAAATATAAAGAGCCTCATACTCAGTGCGAAGGGCCCCGAAACATCGAGTGTAACCGATCCGGCTATCAGATGCCCCCGACAGGAGGGTAGCCCCTCCATTAAAATACCAAATGTGCAGAGCCACCAAACAATCCGGTGTGCCCGAGCCAGGTTAACAAATAGGGCTCCGACAAACGTGTAGTGTCATACATGGAAACAGAAAGTACCCAAGACCCAATGTAGCGGCACCGAGCGACCGGAGTGTGCCCAAGCAGGTCACAGAAGGGCCTCCGATAAGAGCGTAGGGCCCTAAGCGAGTGACAGAGAATTGGAAACACCCTAGACCAATGAAGAGGGCATATGAACATATCGTGAGTGTGTCAGTGAGTTAACCGAGACCAGCGTGAAAGGTACCTGGAGCAACCGATATTATCTCGGCATGTTGACGTATGGGCCCCGGCTATAGCCCACGGAGCCTTTATGGCAGACGGAAAGAATCCGTGGAAAGCCCCTGATCGACAAAGGCGCCCCAGGAAGGGCCCAGCAACAGCGCAGGGCGTTCCGATCAAAGGCAAAGAAATTAAGGGCAGCGTGGAAGGCTCCTTAGCGGTCGGAATGACCTTGCAAGTGGGCACATCAGTTTCCCCGAATCAGGCTAGGGTGTCTGGGCAGCGTAATCAGTCTTAGCATTTCCAATTAACAGCTTATTCAGCCCTTTAGTATTTTTCGTCTTCTGTGCGCCTTTAACTTTCGTGTATATTGGTAGTCGCCTGAAAATTCAAAGATGTCCAATTTTGCTGCGTTTTGTGTAAAAAAAGCTGCACCTGTTCGGCCGGCTATGGGCCCTAGGAAGCCCATATCCTTTTCAGGGCCCAAGGGATGGGCATTGCCTCGTGGCCTCTCTTCTGGATCCGCCCCTGGAAAAACAGCACAAAGTTTCTGTGCGGTGCAGTCCTGATCCAAGCGTGTACCTTGGGCAGCCGACAGGCCAGAGGAGGGGGGGGGGGAGGGAGGAGGGGGGACTGATTGCTGGCCGGCCCATTTGTTCGAAGGCCGGCCTCTCTCTGAGGTATGTGGTAGTGAAGCTCGACTGGAACCAGGGTGAGCTGAAGAGGCTACTGTGCGGTCGATCCGTCACATGCCAGTTCAATGGGATGTAGGCAGACATCTCCATTTGAACTTAATTCGGCAAGATATACGAAATATCAATCAAGGAACCGCTACGGTATTTAATTTTTCATTTTTTGTTAAGATTCGGACTTATCCTTTCAATTGGAAAAATATTTGTGATTGCCGTTCACCATAAATGCTGTTTGCTGCGTGAGCGGTGACACCACCATCCGATCGTAAAACCCAGGGTCACCAGTAGAATTTCACGGCGAAAGCTTAACGTGTCGCAATGCATGGCACCGCACGTTCTGCCCTAACTTTAGGTGTTATTCTGACGTACCTGACCTTTCCCGAACTCCTGCTATCGACCACAGCCCCATGCCAGCCAGAGCCAAATAATGAGCGCATGAAGCGACTTGATCCTTTCCCGCTATCATTCGATGAAGCGGAATGCAGACGCTCTAACATACTGAGCTGTTAGCACAAATTTCTAGTAACAATACACTTTACACATTACAGTAGTGGAAAGTCCAGCTTCTGTACTTTCCACTCTGATGGGATCCTATGTCGGACCTCTCAGGGGAAGATACCCGATGCCTTTACTTTGGGCATCACGACCTGTTTTTTTTTCTTGAAGATGAAGCAGCCACGTCTAGGGAGGCACCAAGAAGGCCTCCATGCCCTATGATTTCTAATGACGCAAACTTCAGAGGCACAAAAACTGCCCTCTTTTCATTTTTCACGAGGAACCAAGAGCGCCCGTATGGTGGAACAGGGAAAATGTCTTTAGGTCCCGAGGTCCCGAGGAGTCCTTTGGGCCAAAGGGAATGACGATTAAGGATCCGACTGAAGGTCCGAAGGGCATGCCGGGGGATGGAGGGGCTTCAGCCAGTAGGGAATGCTGAATACTCCGTCCCGCGCCGGTCTTGGCCCAGTTGCCTCTTCTCCAAATTGGGGCCAGGCCTGCAAATGCTAATCCGAAAGGTCATGCATTGTTCTAGCTCCTGTGCTGATCAGGGGCTTACAATGGCGAACAAAGGGCCCCTGTCGGCAATATGCCCAAAGCCGGCCATGGGTACATTTGCTGAACAGGGACAGGAGCAGGACCTCGAATGCCAAAAAGCCTCTTGCCTTGGTCAGGGCCGGTAAGTCTGTTGGTCTGCCGGTAAGTCTGCCGGTAAGGGATCATTCTTTGGCGCCAGTGACGTGTCCTGCGTCGATCCTGTGCCAGATGCCCTAGTCAGAGGGCCTGTGCCGCATCAGGGATGGGGCCGGTGCAGGATATATCCCTCTGAGGGCCCCGGATCGATCAGGACACCCCGGTCCCCGTACCGTCATCAAAGTAGTTGCAAGTTGTCCCGGGCTGGGACGAAAGGGCATTTCAGTTCCTGACCAGGACAAGTTACCTATTCGTTTTCTAGATAGAATCTCAAAACGGAATGAGCAATTACAGCATCACGGGTAAACAAGATAACACCATGGCATCATGAGTTCGTGGCGCTGTACATGATAAAACAATGTGAAAATGCGTAGGCAATCGTGTTCGAAACACGTAAGTAGCACATTTTGCGCTCATATATGATAACCATTACAAAATAATTTTTGCGAGGTTCCATGTTATGCTAGAACTATCTTATGCTCGAATGCAAGATAGTTTTACCTGTCGTGGGAGCAGTATGCCTAAAATCGTTGTTTTGAATATCGAGAAGTCATATTATTTATGCATCGCTGTTATCACCTTCCTCGTTCCTCAGCGTTCCTCAATGAGAATGTAAGAAACTTGCGTACTCCTTCAAGACACCCAAAACGCGCAGCACGAGATTTGAATATTTCATGTTAACGACACAAAATGTGTTACTCATATTCCAGGTGCGTTGTCTACAAATCTGAATAGTCTCGCCGCTTTCTGCTACCACCAGTAACATTTCAGTATTCGCGTTATGACATGTCACTCGAGTGGCATTACAAGTTAGACAAGGTGTACAAGTTATTATTTTTGAGTTGAGCCATTCACTGTGGTGTTTGGTTCCCTGCACTGCCCGCCCTTCCTGCGAGGATGAGAGGCAAGCGTCGCCATATAGTCTCAGAAGCGTCGTTAAGCTCCAATGGAGCACACATGTTCACTGTGGTGTTTGGTTCCCTGCGCTGCCCGCCCTTCCTGCGAGGATGAGAGGCAAGCGTCGCCATATAGTCTCAGAAGCGTCGTTAAGCTCCAATGGAGCACACATGTTCACAGTGGTGCTTGGTTCCCTGCGCTGCCCGCCCTTCCTGCGAGGATGAGAGGCAAGCGTCGCCATATAGTCTCAGAAGCGTCGTTAAACTCCAATGGAGCACACATGTTCGATGTGGTGTTTGGTTCCCTGCGCTGCCCGCCCTTCCTGCAAGGATGAGAGGCAAGCGTCGCCATATAGTCTCAGAAGCGTCGTTAAGCTCCAATGGAGCACACATGTTCAATGTGGTGTTTGGTTCCCTGCGCTGCCCGCCCTTCCGGCGAGGATGAGAGGCAAGCGTCGCCATATAGTCCCAGAAGCGTCGTTAAGCGCCAATGGAGCACACATGTTCAATATGGTGTTTGGTTCCCTGCGCTGCCCGCCCTTCCTGCGAGGATGAGAGGCAAGCGTTGCCATATAGTCCCAGAAGCGTCGTTAAGCTCCAATGGAGCACACACGTTCACTGTGAGGATAGCGACTTACAACAAGCCACTTTTCGCTGGTTTTGTCAAAATATTAAATTATCTGTATTTCAAAGAACTGATATGGCATCTGGGGCCAGGTTCACCATTGTGAAGGCCGAGCAAAATGTAACAGCGGCCCAGCCAAAAATTGGGGAGGGAGCCCAGCCCAACATTGGGGGGCCATGCCGCCCCCAAAAGATGCAAAGTTCCATCCCTGCCAGGAAGCGTTCGAGTTATTCTACACGCTCATGACCTTGACCCTGACTGGCATGAGCGGCGGCCGGAGCGGGAGAATCAGGTGACGTCAGAGTGTCCTACCTTCAGGATAGGAAGGGCAGTGCCAGGCGTTTCGGCACGTTTGGTGTCGCTGTAAAAACTGTGTTATCGACCCGGAGTTACACGATCCTATGGTGATGTCAGGGCTTGGCTTGCAAGCACCACTTGGCTTGGACGATGATCCCTGACATTTATCCAGAAGTTGAGGACAAACGTTTAGGATGGTGACTTTCATCACTTCAATGGATCCCATCCCCCCCCCCCCCCCATTCACCCGGCATGTTAACAGCACAGGAGTCCCTTCAGCTTATTTTAATCCTTATCGAGCTTCGCTATCACGCCGTATGACGAATGAGCTGGTTATCAATTACTTCACCCCCTCACCCCCTCACCCCCTCACCCCCCCCCCTTTCGACCAGAATTCTGCCGATGGTCTGTGTCTGGATTAGAACTGTTCCGCACAGCAGCTTTGTGCCACGCTACAGTCCATGCCTCCATGATTGACCGCTGAGTAAAATGTCCGCACTGGAGCGCAAGGAGACCGCATTTTTACTGTAATTGTACGGCGACCATGGAAGTCTCCTGACAACTAGGCTGATGCAGATGCGCCAGACTTTCAGGTCTGAGCTCACAGTGACAAACACCCTGCCGTATTAATATAATATATATATATATATATATATATATATATATATATATATATATTCCACTTCAAAGTCAATCAGCAGCGGGTGTCAGCCGGGTTTAGACTTTGGAACGACCAAGTCGACATTTTTGCTCCGTATCGTATCTACCAGGAGACATCCTCTACATGTCCCACCCGCCATCCATCTCAAGCTCACTCACCCGGGCCTGCAGCTCATGCAGCAGCGAGTGCAGCACGTTAAACGTGGATTGTTCGTGCGACTTGGAAAACATCTCGGACACCGGCTCCTCCAGCTTCCAGACGACTCTGGTGAGCGCCGAGAGTGCCGAGAGTGCCGGCTCCAGCCGGGGCAGCTGGTTCTGGAATTCCAGCGTGGCGCGTGTGCGCGCGCCACTGTTGTGGCTCCCCGATACCTTCCTCCCAGCGTACCACATCCCGGCGTCCAGCACCACGAGGTCGGCGCACCCCTGCGGCGACGCGCACTCGTCTCGCAGCGCCTCGAGCCGCGACACGAACGCCTCTTTGATGTGGCTACGCCACCAGAACTCAGCACTCAGCAGCGGGCCACGCGCCTGCTGGCTGCAGCGCAGCTTGTCCAGGTGATTGCGTTGCCCAGCCAGGTAGAATATCTCCAGACAAATGTCCGGGTAGGGCGCACCGTTCCCAGGGTCGGTACACAAGGGTCGCTGGGTGTCGCTGGGGGCGTCGGTGGCATTCCGCGGCTGGCATCGCACGTCCTCCAGCTGCAGCCGCTGCCTCAGGTGGTTGTACAGGATACGGTTGCGAGAATCACCTACGAACACTATGCGACTAGGACGCCTTCTGCGGGCCGCCGCCTCGTGGAGACAGCGCGAAGCTTGCCAGTCGGGTATCGATGGCGCAGCGCAGCTGTCGGCCGGGTCGGCGGACTCTCCGCCAGCCCAGTCGTAGTGCCGATGAAGCAGTGAGAAGATCCGGTCGCAGCGCTGGCGCGTCTGTCGCCCAATGACGTCACCATGACCGCTGGTGACGTCACCGAAGTAGTTCGAGGTGACACCGGGACGTGCGGAGAGTGACGCGGTGGGGTTCCGGGTCCTTGTGCTGAACTTGATTGATCCTGTCGCACAGAAAACTTGAGCTAATCGGTCTTTGTATGCATCAGGCGCACCAGAGTACAGCCACACTGCTATTTCTGAACACAGTAATTATCACCATGCTCTTTTTGCAATGGGCCACCACGACAGTGGATGTCTCTTAAGAGCTTAACATCGTGAGAATTCGTATGAGTGAGTATCAAACACACAGCACAGGGTAAACATAACTAAAGCTACCAGCAAACCAAGAACGATTCCTTTTGATGGGTGTAGACATGGAGAAAGAAGAACTAGGGCAGCATCAGATCCAGCCACTTAGCCCGAGCCCAGATGGGCCCGCTGCAGAGCGTAGAGGTCACGCTCTCAACCACTAGTTTGCGAGGACACAGCGACAGGGGATAGTGTCCGTGCGCCGTTGTTGCGTGCTGAAGGTGACCAACACGCCAAAGCGGTGCCTCGCAGGCAGTGGCAGTGCGTGACAATGCGCCCGGCTCTCTGGAACGATCTCGTTCTCATATCTCGCTGGAACGATCTCGTGTCTCGTTTGACGATCTCGCGGTCATGGAGTACTTATAAGGAGGCGTTTAATAGCGTTTTGTGGTGTCTTAGTGGGGAGATAGGTCTGGTGCATTCCATGATGTTCGATGTTACAAAAGGTCTCCCCGGTAAAGGCTAATTTCTACTGACGGTTTCAAATGCAACAGGCGGCCATCCGGTGCTAAGGACCTGCGTTGCTCAGTCAGTCTCAGGGTGCAGCAGTCCTGAGGTGGCCTTCATCGCAGCTACTGAACGTGTGTAGGCATACATATCGAACATCCACGTCAGTGCCCTTGAGGTGCATCGATCGGCGGCTCCTCTCTTCTCTCGGATCCACTGAAGTCTGATTGAACGTGCCAGACAATAAAATACACTGAAGCAGTTCATTTTCATCGTCGGACTCCATCTGCCGGCGTGCCGAGCATGCGGAGATGGAGTAAATATCACGTCATTATGTTGACGTCATGCACATCCAGTTCCGCACGGCCGCTCGCAACGGGCACTCCATAGCAGCATCCACCTAGATTGTGCCTCAGCATCGCTGGCAGGGCATGCGTAGATTGAAGCAGGCTTCACTCGGCAATGGCAACAGCCGAATATCGCTCGGAGTCGATAAGAGGCTCACAACTTGTGTATATCTAGATTGCGTGATCACATCCCGTGACTGTAGATTAACTCTCAATACGCTTTTTCTTTAACGTCTCAGGTTTATCGCACGGCAGCTCGGCACATTCGTTTACACATCCCCACACGTGATGCTCACATACACGCCTGCAGCGACCAGTAGAGCCATAACATAAGCGGCCTATGCTGCGCACCGCTTCATTAACACATCAGCTCGTATTGGTGGAACGCACTTCATTGAGATGCTTTCAAAGTTCACGGCTACGCAACACGGTCTGTAACATTTCGCATCGGGATCTATGGCTCCTAAACCTGAGCATTGCTATTATTCATCACGTAGTAACCGCGTCCAAGTTGTAGTGACCCGCCTTCTGTTATCAGGGGTCTATCTGATTCAGTGTCTCCGTTTTTCTGCTATGAGAGACTTTTTCGGTTTGTAACATCTTGTGTACATAGATAACTAACAGATTGCATGTTATCACACTTTCTCCAAATATTTGAATGACAATGCATGGTTTAATTAACTACAGAACCAAGCTTACAGTTGTTTTTGGCGTAAGATGACAGACAAGATACTGTTAGTTCGTCATTCATTGTAAGGGACAATAAGTTCCTTAAGCATTTTACGTCATGGCGAGAAACAAAGTATTGCATTATACAGGCGTAGGAGCGTTTCGAAAAGTGGGAGAAGGCAACGTCAGCGTACACTTTAGGAACTTTTTCTGAAAAGCAAGCCCGATGACCGGGTGGGCGGGGGGGGGGGGAGGGGAGAGATAGAGGTTGTTATTCAAATGTCATGGCTATGCTAGGCATGCATCTAGAGCTGTTTCTCACTGGTGCGCAATCTTGCCTATTCGACTCATCTACGTAATTCGGCGAATATGGCTATCCAGCTTCATAGGTTTATTCGTCCACTTCTTTCCTGGGGAGGCGAAATTCCACCAGCGGATGGGCATTTTGGGTCATTGAGGGGACGTCAGCCTCCACAGGATAGATGCCAGAATACAGCCTGGTCATAGGCTGATGGTGATTTTGAAAGTGAACCGATGGCTCACAGTGCGTCAGATTTTTCATGCGTCTTTATTTTTCTGGCTGCGCTTTAAGAGATAGAAATTGTTGCAGTCTTTTAGGCGGAAGCAAATTCGGAAACTTCAAATTGCCAAAAGCAATGTGACGAAAGCCGTAAAACTGGAGTGTCTTTTTCGAAAGCCAAGGCACACATGAAGGCCTGTCTGTCAAATGCTCCTTACCTGGGCCCTGCTCTCGTCCGCCGTCTGCGGTCACTGCTCTGTCCCGGCTGTCTCGCGCATGACTGACTGCGAACTGATCGTAAGGGTGCTTTGTTGCACATTTCTAGAACAGTATTACTACTAATTGGTGTGTGAAATATATGTTGGACGCATGCAACAGTATCCTTTTTCCGAATTATCTTCGCTTACACCACACCAACACAGGAAAATAGCCTCCGGGAAGCTGCTTGCCTTAGGCATGGATTGACCCAACGAACATTGTATTGCCCATCGTTCAACATATACGACTTGATCTGTTTTTGCGCGTAGGCAAGGGTGTAGTCAGAGCCTCGCCGGGGATAACACAGAGTGGACAAAAACCCCTCTTACGGTGACTCCCCCCCCCCAAAAAAAAAATCCCAGATGTAGCTGACTTGTTAACGAGGGACACGATTTTCTTTGCTTTCTTGCTATTTCTATCTTGTAATCAGAACAGAAACCAGAAGCTACCGTGGGATCCATTCTATTTGTGCTTCAACTTTAAAAACTGCAGAAATTAGGCGTTTAACGACCGCGTGGAATAAATCGTCGGCACCCTAAATTTACAATGGCTTAGTAGAATCTTTCTAAACTGACCAACTCAGAATCTTTATCACAATTTTGTGTCTCGGTTGTAAAGGCATTAAGAACATCGCGAAGGTAGATCAGATCGATTTGTTTGATCCAAATACGAACATGAAATTTTTATTGCAGATTGAGTGGTCAACAATCTGTATTCACATGCAAAGGCCGTGTTTGTCTGGAAATGTTCACCATTCAGTCAGAATGTATTAGTGATACAATTCATGTAGCGTGTTTTCTTTAACATGCGCGCTTCAGCCAACAAAAACCTCCACACCAGACGTTGCAGTCTCCGTAATCCGTGGGACGTTAACCTAGCAGTTAACTTTTGGGCTTGGCCGGCCAGTGGACGAAAATGTTGACGCTTCTGGGATCATTACCTTTAAACATTTCAATCGGTTAGTAATACAAGTCATGTGACAAAATTTTGGGCATGCGGACTGGGAAACATTAGAAACAAAAACGTCGACTCCAGGCGTTGCAGTCTCCATAGGCCGCGCGGCGTCGGTCGAGCAGCTAAAACCGAGCTGTGGCTAATGGGTGGACGAAAATGATGACGCTTCTGAGAGAAACATGCTTGAGCGCTTCATGTCGTCAAAAGTTATATTTAGATGGTAGTGTGGGCGCATATCTTACGAGTGCGATTTTTAGAGTTATGATAAGAACGGATTGGCCATTGAGGCGCCGCGAAGTGGGGCTGGAATCTGGTGGCTGAACTGGAAGAGTACAGACGGAATCTCTATTTTCGTGTTTCTGTAACTATCAATCTGTCCAGAAGACAGAGTAATGCGGCACCAGCCATCTGATGGCACTAGCAGTGGCCGAAGCCCTTCGGTTTTACGGAAGCTGCAGCCCAGGCCATCGTCCTCGCTTTCGAGGTTGAGGGCGAACGTGTTTAAACATTTTGATGTAAGATGTTTCACTAATTCATTCTGAAAAAATGAACGTCAGAAAAACATGGGATGGCCTTGTTTTAAAGCCCCTTTTGACCCATTTTTTTTAGCACTAACGAGACCCCCACTCTACTCAATAATAGAGAGATCCCTGACTTCCTTCCGGGCATGGGGACCCCCGAGTAGAGCACCAGAGGTACATTACCGTTTCCGGTCAAGAGCTGAAGGGCCATTACGTCCCATCGCAGAGTATCCTCTGGCTATCATTCTGGGAACACGGGGCAGGATCTCTTGTCTATCCGGAAGCGATTAGAAGAATATATCATATCACATTGCTCCCCTCCCTGACACGGAAGGCCTTCTGACCCGCGCAGTTGGCCCGGATCAGACAGAAACCCTCATTGACACAACAACGTTCCTGATCGTCACAGGGGGTCCAATGATCGTCACATAGTTTCCAGTTCCATGCCTTTTTTACATTCTTCAGAGATATCAAGGACCCCTGAACGTGGATTGTAGATGAAAGGGATCCCAAATTTGTGCCAGCATGGCAATCCATGCTCATTTTAAAATGTTCAAGATTCAGTCAGGATTGATTACTGATGAAACAACTATGTAATCAGGTTTTGAGCATGCGCGTTTGCAAGTCATAGCAAAAACGGCCTCGACGTCCGGTGTTGCAATGTCCATGGGCCGCGCGGCATCGGCCGTGCGGCTGTGGCACCATGCGATGGCCAAGGGGCAAACGGAAAATGACTGCGATGGCCAAGGAGCAAACGGAAAATGACTGCGATGGCCAAGGAGCAAACGGAAAAGATGACGCGCCTTGAGGAAGATGGCTGGTGACATATGTACGTCGGCATGTTTAATGCGGTTCAAAAGTAAGCAAAACACAACGTTTGTCTGAAAAGTGGAGGGGTCAGTTAACACTGCTGGCCTCCCACCTTGAACGATGGGAAGGGGGCCATTGTCCACCTGCCTCCCCCCCCCCCGTTCCTGCACCGATGATACATTAGTATATCTATTTGACAAAATTGCCTGCAGAAAAGGTCTGTAACTGCCCGTTTTCAAAGCATGTGTTTTTTATTTAGATAAAATATATCCATAGCTCTACACTGCAAAGTTTGTGATTTCCAACAGCTGGCAAGGTTCGTAACATCCAGATCACACACGCGAGCGGGGTACGGCCGTACTTTGAGCTAGGCTCCAAGAGTGCAGACCTCAGAACGTGCTCACATATTGTGTGCATCTGAAGCGAGATCGACGTTTTCCGTCCGGTGCACTGAACGTGCTGAACGAGCCCTTAGCTGCTCTGGGAGGAAGACGAGCATCCAGATAAGCAGACAGGGGAGCCATCAAGACGGCGCAGCACCCAACAACACCACGGAGACCAAAGTGCGGCTAAAAATATACTTCCGCGGAGAGGCGGTCGGCAGGATTCTCGATGCGAAGCAGGGGCAACATTCTCCAGACTCGATTTTATGGCATTCTTACCTTTTGGAATGCTTCTAGTCAACTGCACGCCAAACCTGCCTTAAAGCAGCCTGCGACTGTATGCATAGAGGCTGTGCACATCTGCATGGTGCATCCAAAGGCGAGCAATCCATCTGGAGCATAAAACTGATCTGCTGATGCCAGTTTTTACGAGCTAGAAAGCGCAGACGAGAGATGCACATTCACTGTTATCATAGCGCTGGAACCGTTCGGAAAGTTAGTCAAGCTGAACAAGGATGCTGAGAATGCTTCACTGACGACGTTTTCGTAGCTTTAGGCACCATCAGCCAAGGCAAACTGAAACAGCTTTTCGGGGACTTACCTACTTGAGAGTCAAACAAAGCTACTGGCATAGATTGGACAGAACAAATAGCCTTATTCCTTGGAGAAAAACCAGGAGAATGCAGAGAAAGATGGGTCGGTGTTACAGCAACATGCCTTTACCGAAACAATAGCGGAAGCGCTTCATACCAGTGCTGAAAGCACTAGCAGTTTTCGGCGCTGTGCTCGCAGCGTGCCTCGTCAAGATGCTGCTGGCCAAGCAGTGGGTGTGCCGATGGCCCGCACACCAGCAAACAGCGCACTGTTGCACTCGTTATCAATATCAAGTAGTTCGGGGCCGTGTGCTATTTCGAGGATATTGGCCCCATACAGTGTGCAGGATTTGGATAGGAACGCTCTGTTTACACACGCATCTGATCTTAAGTTAAACGCCAGACAATGCATCGGCACATGGGCCACCATAGCTCATGCCCACCACGATAAAAGACAGATTCTCATGCAAATAACGGTGTCACGTCAAGGATGCATTAGTCGTATGTCCAACTCATTCCCATACTCGCCGCCCTAACCATCAACCACCCGTCTGGAGCCGGGGCCAACTAACGGGGCGTTCTGATTGTATGCAGCGTGATAGCTATGTGTACAGCTAAGCAGTGCAGCATACAGCGTGGTGATTATAGCTGTCAGCAGTTTTATTCAGTGCTGAATAAATATAAGGGAATTGTCGAGCGGCCCTGCAGGTGGCTGTGAAATTATTTAAGTTACTTTGTGTTCCGGCATATGCCCATCGGGAAAACTGAGGGAAACGTGAGGTGAGCCGTGAACCAGCGGGTCACCACAGCATTTAAAACCCGAGTACGCTGATATTGACACGCCCCGGTGAAAATGAAATTTGACGAGACCATTCATGTGACTCATTTGTAATTCTCTGCTCGTTGATCTGGCGTGAGCACACGCAGGCATAAGGTGCTAGGTGTGGAATCATTATTTAGGTCATTAAGCAATTTGAAAGCCTCTTTAAGTCGGATTCGGAGTCCATCAACTTGGCTGCAAGTCGCAGCTGCATTCCATTCCTCTGCAGGAGGAAGCGAGCCATAAGTCTGCCTAGCAATAAGATATGGGGCGATTTTTGCATCGTGTGATGCCGGATAGAGATGACAGACTCATGCCAAGATACGCAAGCTTTAACACAGGCTCTGACTCTAGCTCGGACTCAGTTTAAAAATCTCGCAGCCGGCCTTCATCGTTGAGGCCTCCGACCCAAACCAGACTCATGCACTACGGAGATTTTTGGACTTGACCTGATGCAAAAGCTCATGTAGAATGGTAGGATGGATTTGGAAGATGAGCTGGAGCTCAAAACGCCAGGGCTGAGGTTGCACTGGACTTAGACTTTTGCGCGGAGACCTGAGCCCAGATTTGGCTGGTGCCTTTACCTTGTCGCAGAATCCACTGCCATGAACTCAGAGCAATTACAACCAGAATAAACCTGGAACAAAACACAGCGTCACAGCAGTGCGTTGTACTAAGGCGGCCAATAACACTGGCAAAGCCCAAAGACATAAGGCTCTCGCATTCAAGTAAGTACTGAACATAAACGCCACAGTAGCCTCATCCACTGTTTCACAAAAAGCATATGTGTCATGTGATATACATATATATATAGTTGCACGATTTGCGGATGAGATCTAAGCTGTGGGAGACCGTCTTTGGGGGGGGGGGGTGTATTGTGTGTATTTGGCTGACTTATTTGGAATCCAAATGCGGAGTCATGCCTTCATTTCAACCCTGATATTGCTTGCCTTTCACCTGGAACAGTAGTAGTGTAACGGTTGCTATAGGTGAGCTTATGTCATCATATATAATGCTTACTTCAATATCCTCAAATGTGGTGCATTTCCTTAAAGTCGGCATGGGTGGGGGGGGGGGAGAGGGGTTCAAACACTCCGAAAACATACAAAGTGACGTCACCGGATAGACGTCCTCGTTTGTGTTCATCTTTTTCTCATTTTCGACCTCATTTTGATCCGCCCAATCTAATGCTTATGAAACCTCTTACCTTTCCAGGGCAAGGGGCCCAATGGGTACTCCACGCTACGGGCACATTACGTTTCCCGGTCAGGGGCTCAAGTCGTTCCATCCCAGCCCAGGGTGCTAACCGACTGCATTTCTGGCAATACAGGGACATGTCTGTATATACATTAGTCGCCTGCCTGACGTTAAAGGCCCCTGACCCGGGAATTGGGACCCGGATCGACGCAGGGTTCCTCACTAACGCAAAACATACCAAGTTTCGACGCAGGTGCCCGACAATTGGCATGGAGACCACAGTCCAGCATAATAGGCCCTTGGCTCAAACGGTATGGAGAGCTCCCCGCTCTGTAATGGAACCGCTGACTGACACGCGGCCTCCTATTGTCTCATTGACTGTGGACCTCTGACCGACAAGGGGTCGTATTGTTTCAGGGGTCCCGGTGAATGTAAATCGCTGGTCCTGGCCTTATCCTTGCTTGGGAAATGGGCTCCCAGGCTCAGACCCACGCGCTGCCGACTGTTTGTCGTTGGTGTTCTCTGACCGATATAGAGACCCTCATTGCCCTCGGGTGTGATCTGCTGCCTTCATGTAATCTACAGCCAACCATTCGTACCTTCCAATCAGGCACTTGATCGAAGGCCACTCTACTGGCCGCTTCGAACACTGCCCCCGACCGATTATGGGCTCCTTGCCATACATGACCCCTGTTGCTGTGGTTTCCAGATCAACACAGGGACCCGTTCATTGTCGCAGGGGCCCCGACGAATGTAAATAGCGGGCTCCGGCCTTGTCCGTGGTTGGGAAATGGGATGTGAATTTCAGACCTGACGCTGGAGCAGTTAGGTGGTGAATTCGTCACATGTCGCGGTCCTTAAGCCTTCACCACAGGGGCGTGTTTTGCGAAATATTATTGGGGATGGAAGAGGAGGGCGGGGAAAATTATCCCTAAATACACTTAAAACAGACTTCTCTCCTGCTCTTATGCGTTTCCCGACTTTGTCTCGGTGTAAGATGCCGCTGGGCACCGTAGTCATTTTATTTGGCGGCTATCGTCGAAACCAGGTTTCGGTAATTAACGTAGGGTTGATGCTATGTTGCTTTAGACGTTTTTGGACATGCATGGTTTCGGGATGTGTTGTGTGTTTTCATGTTATGCACCTTCGACACATTTAATGTTGCACATTACGCAGATTCGTGTTGTTTTGGTGATCATAATCGGACGATGACTGCTATCGGTTTAGTCGGCTGGTGTCGGTGGTCAGGTTTCCGTTAGTGCAATTGTTCAATCGTATCTTTACGTCGATGGGAAGACCGGCACATTCCAATGGTCCTTCGGAACGTAGACAGACAACAACTTGGTCACTTTTTTGCTGATATTTGACCGGTTTCTTCTCGATGTTCTCAATTTTTATAAGGTACCCGGCCAAATAATGCAGGTTGTTTAAGTCTGTAGAGCCTCAAACATCCCTGAATAATGCCAAAACACTCAGATAATAGCACAAAGCCGGGTCAGAATCAACCAGACATAATAATCTTGGAAGTCAAAAACGCAGCTGCACTCAGCTGAATATGGCATCTTAGCTTTCACTTCTGTGTCCTTGTACCTCTTAAACGATTAGCAGAAACCTACTTTGAAATTGATATAATTTTGAGCTCCCATTTTTAATTTCCAACTGGCACTTAGGCTCCAGAAGGTTGGGGAGGCAAGCTTACGGTTGGGGAGGGGGGGGGGGGCAAATTGGACATGGGGGAGGCAGCGGCCTACCCAAAATAATACAAATCGACATCTGTGGTTACGGTCATAAGACGCGCCCAGTACCCACCTACTATTGTCTGTTATGTTGACCAGTAACGGTTTTGATGACCAGTATACGCAGCATGAAGGGGTGCAACTTTTCAAAATCAGTTTGGCGTCGGTTGAGCTTGAAAAATGCTTCAAAAGGCGGGTTTCTTCCTGTATTTGATCGATCTCTTGATATTGAACCGTGTGCCCCTAACTGGTTCGGGAGCTACATCGTCCAGTGTATCTATAACTAGTACGTGATTACTTCAGCACGGTACTTGCCTCTCTGTGGTGATCCCCCCCCCCCCCATCCCACACACACAGAATGGATTATTTTGTAGTAATATACGTACAGTCCAACGACAGCTAATCTGTTGGCAGTTCAGTTATTGTGTGATGTGTATTTGAGCAATTCCGAACAAACTCCGGGCTACTGCCACCCATAGTCAATAAACGGCTTTAAGGCCAAACGGACATACATAGTTATTCAAATTCAAAACACACCTTCCTCTGACTGGGAACAAAGAGGCCGGTTTCCAACATACGGATACTAAGCATTAATACCGTGGGCGCTCAGCTTGTGGGAGTTCTGAGTGGTCTATCCCATCCAAGCGCTTGCAAAGAGTGGGAAAGGCTGGAGTTGACTAGGTGGCGAAATCTCGTGCTGATGACCTCAAAACTGGAGTGGACAACAAGCGGACAGATGCCATACTCGCCGCTGGCGGAGGGGCTGTGCATGCCCAAAACCGCGATGAAGCCATGGTAGGATGCCCTTGAACCTACAGCCAGCATGCGTCACAGACTATGTGGTTATAAAATATCCCACATAGTGTAACTCGAAACATTTGGAAAATTGAACGGAAGTCGTAAATGGAATGGATGCATTTCTATGCATCTTTGCAAGATACAAGATGCAATATGCAAAAGGCAAGATGCATTTATAGATCCAACGTCGCCCTCGGCTCTCACCTCCGAAACCGGCGCGCCGTGATTGTCACCCCGTGAGTCTTCAGAGCGGCATAAACGTCACGATAACGGGAGCGATTGCCCTCCAAGTCGCTCACGCCTGCTCCACGCGCCATTTGGGCCTCTGCTGCCGCGGCTGGCGTCCGCCGTCGGCCGGCATCGGCAGACTGCTGCGGGTGGAGCTCCCGGCGCGGCAGACGGCCGCCAGCAGCAGGTCTTTACGGCGGGCCTCCTGAGAACGTTGCGGTCTGCTGCAGAGTTCGCTGCCCTGACGATGGAGCCGGGTGGGGCGCAGTCACGTCACCATCACGGTCACGTCATTCGCGGCCGCGCCCTGAGTTGACCTGGGAACTGTCTCAAAATCGGCACGTGACGCAGACACGCGAATTTTCTGAAGCGGCTCGTCCGATCGCCTTGAAACCTTCACCAGTGCATATGTCATACCACTGTCATTTCATTGTCCGTCACTTAAAGTTGACGACTTGATCCGCTTTGGCATGTGGGCAGGGGCATATCCCGAGCCTTGCCAAGAGGGAACAGAGGGTCAATAAAAGCCCCTCCTATGGTGACCCGTCTAAAAAATCCCCGGATGTAGTTTACTTGTAAACGAGGGACATGACTTTTTTGTATTATTGTTATTTTCATATTGTAACCAGAACAGAAACCAGTAACTAATCCGTGATCAATTCTGTTTATATTTTGAAGTCAATAAACTGCATAAAATGGGCGTTTAACGACCGCATGGAATAAATCACCGGCATCCTTTGTTCACAATGCTTTAGTGGACTCTTAACCGATAAAATTCAGAAGCTTTTTCACAATTTCACCTGGATTCTACAGACATCAAGAACATTGCGAAGGTAGATTAGATCGATATGTTTGACCCAAATTTGAAAATGAAAATTTGATTGTAGATCGGGTGTTCAGCAATGTGTATCAGCATGGCCAAGCCATGCTTGTCTGGAAATGTTTACCACTCAGTCAGAATCGATGAGTGATACAAATTATGCAACGTGGTTGTTTAACATGCGCGCTCGCAAACCTTGGCAACAAAACCGCGACACCAGGCACTGCAGTCTCCATAGTCCGCAAAGCGTAAGCCCAGTAGCTAACTTTTATCATACACTAGCTGGTAGGCGAAAATAATGACGTTCCTGAAATAATTACCTTTAAACACTTAAATCGATTATTTATACAACTTGTGTGATATAATTTTGAGCATGCACACTCGAAAATCTAAGAAACAAAAACCTCGACTCCCGGCGTTGTAGTCTCCGCAGGCCGCGCAGCGTCGGCGCAGGAGTTTACACTGAGTCGTTGACAACGGGTGGACGAAAATGGTGACGCTTCTGAAAGAACCATATTTGAATGCTTCATGACATCAATACTTACATTTGCAAGGTAGTGTGGACGCATATTTTACGTGTACGATTTTTAGACTGATGATAAGAACGGGTTCGATCCCTAAAGCACCACAAATTGGGACTGGAAATTGGTAGTTGAACTGGAAGGGTAAAGATGGAATCTATATTTTTCGTCTTTCTGTAGCTATTTGTCTGTCCAGAAGGCAGATCAACACAGCGCCCGCAGTCTGGTGGCACTAGAAGTGGCCGAAGCCGTTCGGTTTTACGGAAGCTGCAGCCCAGGCCATCGTTTTCCTTGCCCTCGAGGTTGCGGGTGGTCATATTCAAACCTTTTGATGTAATTTGTTTCTCTTATCCATTCTGAAAAAAGGACGTTCTCAGGCAAACATGGGATCGCCGTGTTCGTTTTTTAAGCCCATTTTGACCCACTTTATTCAACGATGATGAGACCCCCGCTCTGCCCAACAGTAATGAGAGCCCTGGTTTCCCTGCGGGCAGGGGCCCCTTGAGTAGAACACCAGGGGTACATTGCGTTTCCGGTCAAGCGCTGAGGGGCCATTACGTCCCATCGCGAAGTGTCTCCCCATATGTGAAGCTACTCAAGGAGCCAGTGCCCTCCCATTGTCCCTCATTTTTATCTTTGGGTAGGGAGCAATGTTTTGTTTTCGATGGAGCTCATCACCAGTCTATCCTTCACCCTGCATTTGTATCAACACGGCTAATCCATTTTTATTATAAAATATTCAAGATTCATTCAGGGTTGGTTACTAAAAAAAAACTATGTAATACGATTTTGAACATGCGCACTCGCAACTCATAGCAACAAAAGCCTTGACGCCTGGCGTTGCAGTGTCCATAGGCCGCACAGCTTCGGCCTGTGGCTGTGACACTTGTGGCCAATGATGAAACGAAAGAAATGACGCATCTTGAGGAAGATGACTGGTGAAATATGTAACTCATGCTCATAACAAATATGTAACCTCCCTCCCCCCCCCCCCCCCCCGGTTTCTACACCCATGACAACAGCACATAGCCAATACGCTGCCGTCCTGTGGCCCGCAGCGCCTCTTCATCTTAAGCATCACTCCCGGTAGCGTCCTGCTCCTAAGGAGAGCCTGCTTTGCCCGATGACAACCACGACGCGATTTACTGGCTGAGATTGTATGCCGTCTTTGCCGAGTGCGATGTCTTTCGCGAACGTCTTTGCGAGACGCCTGTGACGGCTATGAGTCGCATCTGTCATAAAGTATCATGGGCACCATCCCTGTACAATGAGAGCTCCTCCGACTCCCTCTTGAATGAGATTTGCCTTTCGAATTGACCACTTTGGCTCCGTTTGTGCAAGGCCCCGCCTTTTTATCTGCAAAGTCATCAATGTCGGCAAACGTCATGGGCAGTGAAAGCCCCGCAGACATAGTCCAGTTTGGCCTCATGCGCCCGCTAGGTTGTTACAAGTGTGTCCAGATTATGTCTTTGACTTATCTCGGCTAGCCTAACAACATCGAAAGAATGTTTATTGCCTTCAAAACATCAACCACTTCAAAAAACGGAACGGCCACCACGCCTTGGCATTTAAGGTCAATAATTGTGCCGTTGTTTCATCAACGTGCTACCCAATTAACACGTCCGTGTGGCCCGGTTGGATACCCTTCGCTCGGTTGTGGGGGGTGGTCAACTTGACCCCTCTGAGATCTCAGGAGCTAAGTGGGCTAGAAACACTAAATTCACGGGGTGCGTTAATCTGTACGTGAACTCACCTAGGCCAAGGTTTGAGGATTCCTAGATCATGACCTTTGGATACAATAAGTTCAAACAAAGTCATACCCCAGGTTGGTCTCCAAAGTGCCCCCAGCACCTAGCTACTTGTTCTAAGGAAAACGCCACGTGCTCATTTAAGGTCAGTGACCTTTCGTATATTACGCCAGGCAGTGAGTTCCTTAAAAAGGTGTTGAATTGTGCCATTTTAGGGTAGCAGCTTATGGTAACCTTTAAGAAGTCCATGGAAAATGTAAAATACGGTTCCTGTTATCAATCAATTCGAAAAGAGCACCAGAAGGTATCCCATTCAGCAAACCATAATGTAATAAAACAGCTTGGTTTTGACCTTGGCCTGACTTTCATATCTCACTCTAAGCGAACGTAATTTGTTCATTCCATTGTTGTGTTGCCTAAGAAACTGCCTCAGAGAAGCATAGCTTCGTCTAACAGTCCGTTGTCATATCGGATTGAACGATTCCCTAGGGACTGACTTCTCTGAATACATGGCCTGGCTTTGGCCAACGACTTTACACGGTACATCTAAGCTTTTGTACCCAACGATCCGTTATTCAGTTGTCTACAGCTATGCAGAATTTGGTGCGGCTGTGCTGCGCTGTTCCGAAACCACTTCGGAAAAATTTTGGGGTCTACTTGACCGCACCCATGGCCGTGTTTTTTCGTTATTTTTTTCATCGCAGACGTGCATTTTCGTGCCTTTTCATTTTGCGCGCCACCCGTCCGATACCGGTGGGGCTTCCCACGCGGAACGTGGAACAGGAAGCAAGCCGGTTATGATCTGGGGGTCACCCATGCCGCACCAAACACGACTGTCAGGCCGAGAGAAGAATGCGGCTCGGCCCGACGCTCCAACCTATCGGCCCACATCGACGAAGCGACGTCAGGTATTCCCCCCGGAACGGACGTGACGGCGGCCCCATCTGTCAAAATGGTCCATCGCGCCAAGATAAATGGATGCGAGAGCCAGGTCACCGGCGGCGCAACATGTGCGCAAGAACGTTTAACTGGCATGTGAGGATGTTTGCCGCTCCGCCCCAGGAACCCCGCCGCGCTGGCGCTGCCCTCACCCCAGCTGGCATCAGAAGCGCCACGCCATGAGAGAACTGGGCCAGAAGGGGACGCGCAGGGCCCGCCTGAGGCGGGAGCGGGCGGGCCTTGCGTCGTCGCCAGCGACGCTACGCCCGAGATGTGCCCCAGGGGTACGTTAGGGACCGAACTCTGGAGGCAGCGCAGGCCGGTCCGGCGACACATTGGACGGAGGGGGCGAGGCGGCAAATCTGTAGGGTCATGCGCTAAAGCGAGGACGGACCGACCCAGTTGGAAGACTCATGGAAGGCTACGGATCAGGCAGGAAGCTACAGAAGGGTCTCTCAGGAGACGTCAAGGTGGAGAGTCCGGCGGAGGTGCTTGGAAAGAGAGTCTCCCGGGGAGTCCTGAGGAGTGAGGAACGCTGAGGAGAAGTGGCGGCGACATCTGGCCCCGCGGACGACGGGACGCCGACAACAACGCCCACGAGTCTACAAACTGTTGTCACAATCCTCACCGGGCCATGGACGGCTGGCGCTCCCGTGTCCCTTGATCCCTCGCCACCGGGCAGGCGCGGGGCACGGCCACATGTTCCCTCCCTATAGTTAGAGAAAAGGGCGGGCACTAGCCATGAGACCCTCCTGGACGGCAATATGTCTCGGGGAGATGGCGGCAATGTGCGTTTTAAACGGGTTGGCGTGGAAGGTGGGCATGGTGTCCGAGGCACATGACGCTACGGCGCGGTGGCTGGCTCGTTAACCCGCGCCGAGACTTTCTTGATTTTGTCCTTGGAGACGGCCGCGTGGAGTCGCAGCGGCTCGTCATTGCCCTCGTCCGCCCCGCGTCGAGCACAGGCGCGGCGTACGGGCCACGCCGCCATATCCATGAAGGCCTCTCTTTTGCTGTGACGTAGTCTTCTGGCTAGCTGGACGGTTTGACCTTTCTCGTTCTCTTGATTTGTTTTCCGATTGCCCGGGGCGTCG